GCCACCATGAGGGTGCTGGAAACCAAACCCAAGTCCTCTGCCAGAGCAGCCATAGCTCTTACCCACTGCGCCGTCCCTCCAGCTCTGATGCAGACATTTCCGGATGTCATTTGTCTGGCTTCGTGTTCTCTGTCTACAGATGTATAAATTCACACCTGCTGCTGGAGGGACGGAACCACCACAGCTTGCTCCTCTCTGGCCTTGCTCCTCGTCTCAACCCAGGCACCAACCAGATGTCTTTTCCTAACCTCACCTGGCTGTCTTCTGAAATTTGCTGTCCCTTAGATTGACCTCTAGAGGGCTCCACTCGACTCACAGGAGCCAGGACAGTCACCTTCCAGATTCCTTAAGACAGTTACCTCTCCTCAGGGGAACACAACTGGAGATGGGGACCCCGGAATCAGCAGCTCCCGAAATGTCCTTGGTCCCGTCAGCACTTGTGTCCTTGCTACAGGCCAGAAATGCCAGGAAGGCGGTCCGATTCCTGGTACCCGGTTAGCTCTCCTAAGCGAGCAGCGTTGCCTGGCAGCTCACAGGAGGACCTGACCAAAGCTTTGAGGGACACTTGGTGGGTGGGCCCACTGGACCGACCCCAGTCTCTGCCATTGGTCCTAAACACTCACCCCGCCTAGCAGCTGCGTGGGCTGCGTCTTGGGACCCGCTCCCGCCTCTATTTAGCTTTCTTCCCTCCCTACACCAAAACTCGCCCTCTGTGGGCCGTGAATCTCATTCTTTGAATCCCCAAGAACTTGGAGCCAGTGGTTCGGTAGAAGGTTTGTGTGACGGTGAACTTCTGGCTCCCTAATGCCCCAGCGCCCGTGAGAGAGAAAGCCTCCATGAAGCTCTAGGACCTCACTTTCCCTTGTCACCTGGGTAAGGGGCCCCTTTTCCTCCTCCCAAGTCTCAAAATGTCCCTTGCCTTTCAGTCTTGCCTCAGTTCTATTTCTTCAGAGCAGGTCGCGGACAACCCAGACTGGTTTTAAACTCCTGTTATCTCTACCTCCCAGGTGCTGGGATTATAGGCTGTGCTAGGCAAACGCTCGCTTTAGTATAAACCACCAATGCTGGCACCCCATAAACGAAAAAGACATCGGGGGTGGTGTGCACAATACAAACACAAAAGAATCCGCTTCAGCGGAGAAGCGCTGGTTGTCGATCCTGAGATTGCGTGAGGAAGACAGCAGACCTTAAAAGGGACCCGCAGTGGCTCTCCTACGTTCCTCCAGGGGTCTCGGGAGTTCTCAGTTTTCTTCTTTGTATCCTTTGGCTGCTAGATTCGTCCAAGAGCAGAATTAAAATAGATTGTGGTTTGTAATTGTGTTATTTTTAAGAATTGAGCACTACGTCCCATGGAATAAGCTAAGTGCACACCGAAGTTTTATAAACAGAGAAGGGCTTGAAAAAGCACAAACCCAAAGCAGATTGGTCCATTTCCTTGGGGCCGTGGGGGCGCAGGGCAGAGATGGGAATAGAAGGAAAGCAGCTCTAAGGTCTTTCTGATTTCTGAGATAAATGAGCATCTGCAGATTAGCGCCCTTTGTGTAAGAGTTACGGCAGAAGGAACTCCATTATGACATCAGTTGGTAGTGGGGAGTTAGGGAAACTTGGCTGTTATCAGTCTAATCCTGAACTGTAAGAGCAGATAACATTTTAGTTTCGTTTTGGTGGCTTTAGTTTAATTCTCTTCTGACTTTTAACCTGGCCTATTTAGATCAGTTCAAAAACAATGGCTTCCTAGAAATCTCTGTTCCCCTGAAAACACAGACACAGACACAGACACACAGACACACACACACACAACCCTGGCATTGTACTCCTGCAGTGTATGTAACAGAGAATGAATTTTTTTTTAGATAAGTTATCTAATCATTGTTTATACATGTGTGTGTGTGGTAAGTGTGTCCTTGGGAGCCAGAAGAGAACATGGGATCACTTAGAAATGGGAGTGACCTCTGGAAGAGAAGGCTCTAACTGCTGAGCCAGCTCTCCAGCCTGTCTCAATCCTCCTGCCTCCAGTTCCTGGACCAGCGGCAGGCATTATCATACCTCCAGTTTAATGCAATGCTAGGGACTGAGCACATGCCTTCACGTATGCTAGGTGAGAATTTTACCAACTAAATGCAAACCTAGCTTGGCCTCTTGCAACTCTCATTCAACATTAGAAACAGCTCTTGGAAGTCGAGTGGTGGTGGTGTATGCCTTTAATCCCAGCACTTGGGATGCAGAGGCAGGCGGATCTCTGTGAGTTCGAGATCAGCCTGGTCTACGAGAGCAAGTTTCAGGATAGGCTCCAAAGCTACAGAGAAACCCTGACTCGAAAAACCAAACCAAAAACAAAAACACCCAAAACAAACAAACAAACAAAAAAAACAAAAAACAGCTCTTAGAAGAATACTTCTGAAGAATCAAACTGGAAAACCTCGGCACGGCTGACGTGGTGACACATGCCTGTAGCCCTAGCTTTTAGCAGGTTGAGTAAGAGGAACATAAGTTCAAGGGCAGCCTGGGCTACACAGAAAGATCCTGTCTCTAATAAATGAATAAGGTTATGTCGGTAGAACGCTTATATAACATTCCCAGAGCCCTGGATTCAATTACCAGCATTAAAAAGAAGTTTTAATTGATAAAATCAGCACAAATATGTACCAATTGAGAATACTTTTATTTTTGGTTTGTGATAGAATCACACTCTGTAGACCAGGCTAGCCTTGAACCCACCAGTCTGTCTCCTGAGGACTGGGGTTAGGGAAGTGCTAAAAACAATAACAAATCCTGCAACTAAACACAACATTGAGCATCAGAAACTTGATGGTGCTCCCTCACCCTCCGTTCTACTTTGTCTCAACGAATTTGACTATTTTAGTGACTTTTCTATCAGTGGTTTCATTTGTGCTCTTAAGAGAAAAAGGTGTGTGTGTGTGGTTACCTGGGACTGAAGCCAGTGCCTTGTGCACGGAGGATACATCCTTTACCAGTGAGCACTCTCATACTGCAAGCCCTGGATGTCCGTGAGCAGCTCTCTGAAGTTGGGTTTTTGAGATGGGTAGATCTAGTGTACAAGACAAAGTGGTATATGCAGAAGGGGGCGGTGTCTACGGGAGGCAGTGGGCTTGCTCTGTCAGGACCCTGGCTGGAGGGGCTAAGGCAGGGTCACAGAGGGGTCACAGAGCACTGGGCTGCAGATGCTGGAGTTGACATCACTTGCGGCCTGTGCTCTGTGCTGGGGCAGCGCTGGATTTGCTTAGGAAGGATGGTAGCTGGGGGTAGTGCCATTCTGAGCACTCACAAATCTCTGATGGGAAGAAGGGACAGCAGGAAGCGGCTTAGGAAGTTGTTTAACCAACCTGCTCTTCCCTCATGGTCCTCTAACAGAGAGAAGATACCAACGGGGTATGTGGATCTCTAAACTAGTTCAGTGGAAAAACACAGACATTAACCGTGGACATAAGAGAAACATTTGTGTGGTAATTTCCTTCCCAAGCGGTCAGTCACATGTTGACTGGTTGGGTTTCTTTTTGTGTTTTATACAAAATAGGATTGATAAAACATGTGACATACATGAATGTATCCAAATGAGACCCAGTGTGTCACCACACACCTTTAATCCCAGGCAGAGGCAGAAGGATCTCTGAGTTCAAGGCCAGCCTGGTCTACAGATCAAGTTCTGAAACAGTCAGGATTTGATAGACTTTGCCTAAAAAAAAAAAAAAAAAAGAAAAAAAAGAAAGAAAGAAAGAAAGAAAGAAAGAAAGAAAGAAAATGGAAGTTGAAGGTAAGCTTTTCCTAGCTTGGGTGGATGGGGACTCAAATCAGGTGTGGAGAAAGATGGTGGATAGAAGGTGCATGGGAGATTATAAGTAAAGGGCTGAGCTACACCATAGCAGCGGACAAAGTGTTAGAGCCTTTGTTATGTAGCTTGTGTATGGCCCATCGTTTCCTCAAATATTGTAAGCATCTCAGGACTCAGGAATGCCAAAGTGTTTTAGGTTCCTGTAATATCCAATCAAGTAGGAGGTGCAGATCTGAGCTTGAGCTTGGTTGAGATCACATTAGTACCCAGAAGACCTCCATGTGTCTTCTGCATCAAAGAAGGAAGAGGAGGTAGCCCAGATGCCATCTGGCAGTGCTAAACAGAGCCCAGGGTCAGACCCTTTGAGAGCAGACAGGAGCAAACAGCGTTCCTACTAGAAGGAACGTGGGACAGCTGGAGAGGAAGCGAGGCTCCCCTACGTGACAGCACCCTCTCCTAAGAAGGAAACTGTCTTTTCTGCCAGATGTCAACTGCAAATTTGAGCAGACAGTTATTTAAACAGAACATCCTGAAAATGGGCAAAGGAAAACATTACCCTTTAACTGGTTAAGAGCATTTATTTAGGCCAGTCAGTGGTGGTGCATGCCTTTAATCCCAGCACTCAAGAGGCAGAGACAGGCGAATCTCTGTGAGTTCGAGGCCAGCTTGTTCTGCAGAGTAACTCCAGCCAGGGCTATTACACAGAGAAACCTTGCCTTTAAAAAAAAAAAAAAACCTTCCAAAACAAAACAAATCCAAAAACAAAAAGACACTATTTATGACATACGTAATTAACAATGAAGTTGTTTTAGCTATTTAGCCCTTTTAAGTTGACCTGTGGTGTGTGTGTCTGCTTTTGTTTAGCTGGTGGAAAAACACATGGAAGACAGGTAAAACAACAATAATCAAAAAACCTGCTCTTCTGCAGCCCAGAACTCATGGTCCAGTATGAGTTCTGATAGAGACAAGAGTGGAATACAATACTTAAGACTGCTCCTAAGACGGTGCGGGTCACCTGCTCCCATGCAGGCTCCCGTTGGCATGTCCTTTGATCACTTCATGCACAAGCACAGCATACTCCCGTGACACTGTGTCCACTGTGTCCATCCCTCAGCTGAATTCTGCACACCATTCAGGACTTCACCATAGTCTTGGAAGGATCACAAAGGAACCCAGAATACATTGCTCTATAGCCGTGCCTCCTGGCGTCCCACCTTGCACGGTGAATGTGTGTTGCTTTACCTACTGTGTGATGGTCCTTATTTGTGCCTTTATGTTACAAACCATTTAACACATTTGAAAAAGAAAGAAAAAAAGTATGGACATTACTTGGCTTCACTGGAGATGGTGGACTGTGGGCAGCCATAGTGATTTTGAAGGATTTATTAGGCAAGTTTGGTGAAGACAGTGGAAGGCACAAAACAGCAGGAGATAGCTAAAGCAAAGCTGGTATATTTCTGTTAAGAAAGAAAACATGGCGACACTTTTGGTGACCTTAAGGGGAGGCTACCATGGGTGCCAGGCCGTGGGCCACAGAGACCATAGGCCCTGTGGGATGAGGCTCTGGTTGGCTGTGGTAGATAAACCACTGACAAACAGAAGAGCAAAGGCAGCAACTGGCCACACACCCAGCGACTAGAGCCTGGCACACACTGCACAGACGCAGAAGCAACAACCCTGGGAGGCAAGGGGCTGTCACAGCAGTAACGGGTGGAGGAAAAATACTGCGTGAATCAGAGCACCAGTGTGCTCAACTCCTGTATCTAGGCTGTGCTACTTAATCCTTCCTCCTTCCCCTTTCCTCATTGTTTGACAGGATCTCTGCAGCCTGGGTTAACCTCTAACCCAAGGCAATCCTCTTGCCTCAGCTTCCCAAGTCCTATGATTATAGACATAAGCCACTACACTGGGCTATTTTCATTCCTCAGTCAGTCAGAACATTAATACTCACATAAGCATTTATTTCAAAAGCAGTACTTAAAAAGCTCCAAGTGCTATGTGTTTCAGGTAGGTGTTACTTTGTATACTTCTACCCCATTTATTAAGCCAGAAACTTCAGGGATTTCAAGTTCGTAAATTCAGCTCAACCAGATGGACAAAGGGGACAGCATGGCTCCCAGTGACAGCTCCCATAGAGTACATGTGCTGTCATATGAGGGCTTTCTTCCCATGATTCCGAGGCAGAGCCTCTAGATTCTCCAAGGTGGCTGGTTTAGCATCCTGGTTCTAAGGGTCGGTGCTCTGCCATGCACGAGGTGGAGTCAAGCTTCCAGGTCCCTATCTTGCAGGTCTCCATTAGCAATTTGTGAGGCTCAGGTGAGCTGGGCAATCTGAAGGTGGGGAGTCTGCTTAAGGAGGAGCCCCAATCCGCATCCACCGCCCTCAACTGCAGCAGGTCTTCTCTATAAGGGATGGTGAGTCCTTGAAGGTGACTGGAGTTTACCCCAGGAAGAAGCCATCTAGCCACTTGCCTTGTATTACATTTCTAAAAGCTGCTCCATTTCCTCCAGGACTATTGTGAAGTCACTGGCTTGGTCCTTACATAAGGTTTGCTGCTCCAGGAACTGCATCCTTTCTTCTTCTTTCAGCTTCAACTTCACCTTCAGGGCCTGAGAGGGAAGGCATTTCAAAAGAAAACACATCAAACTCTAGCCTCACAGAAAGTCAGCACCGGACCAGAATTAACACCTGTGTCGCATAGAGGACGACATCACATTTCCACCTTGGGATTTATCTGTGCTGGTTTGGGGAATTTGTTCACCCCTGTATTTAAAATGGAGCAATGAAATCCTCTATATCTCCTGCCCGTGGTATATCTAGGCAATCTAAAGCTGTCTAGATCCAACAATCTCTAAGACAGGGTCTTACCTTGTAGATCAGGCTTCAAACTTAAAGATCCTCCTGCCTATGTGATAAAAGGTGTGTGCCACCATGCCTGGCTTCTCCACTGTGCCTGGCTTCTCCACCATACCTGGCTTTTAAGGGTTTTTCTTTTTAATTTGTGTGTGTATGTGTGTGTGTGCACACATACGTGTGTGTACTTTGGATGCCCATGGTGAGAAGAAACCCCTAGAGCTGAAGTTACAGAGTTCTGAGCTGTGGGAAACAGAACCTGGGACCTTGGCAAGAGCAGCAAGCACTTTCAAGTGCCGAGCCGTCTCTCTAGCCCTGGGATCCGGATGTCTTGCCCAGGTCTCTGGACATAAGCTTTCTAGCATAGATTTCACACAGTCTCAACTTTGAGCAGCCTACTGTGTGAAACCACTAGAGGTGTGGAGATCCCTCCTCTCCCCTTATCCCTGGGAACATTTCTGAGTCCTTAGGAACAAAAAAAAAAAAAAACCAAAAAAACAAACAAACAAAACAAACAAACAAAACTGTGGAGGAAAAGAATCCAAAACAGAAACTGATTGAGTACAAACTCCGGGAATTTCATTAGCAATGACACACCAGTGGTTTCTTACTGGTGACAATGTGTGAGGACAGTGTGAGGTGTTATTCTTAGGGGAACTGGATTTTCTGGATCATCTGCGCAACTTTTCGATAAATCTAAACTAACTTTAAAGGAGTTTATTCAGAACAAGCAGGAGCCAATCATGGGGGAGGTGGAATAGTCCAATGGGTAAAGGTGTTTGCCATCAAGCCTGAGCTGAGTCTCATGTGCTGTGTATGGACCCACACACAACAGACATACATACGTACACATACACTCATGCATAACGAATCTATGAAGGCAGGGGGAACTGGAGATGCCTCTGCAGTTGGAACCCCCTGCTTTTCCAGACAACCAGAGTTCAGTTTTTAGAGCCCATGTTAGTCAGCTCACAATACTCTAAACTCCAGCTCCAGGGGATCTGATGCCACCTATGTCTTCCGTGGGTGCCTGTACAATATGAGGCACACATTCACACTGACACACACACACAAATAAAAATAAACGTGAAAAATAAAAAAATAAAGAGCCAGATATGATGGCTCACACCCATAACCCAGCACTTCAAGGGCTGAGGGAGGAAGACTGCTCTGAATTCAAGACCAATCTGGGACACATCAAAGACTCTATCAAAAGAGAAGAAAAGAAGAGCTGGGCGATGGTGGTGCACACCTTTAGTCCCAGCATGCAGGAGGCAGAGGCAGGTAGATCTTTGTGAGTTCGAGGCTAGACTGGTCTACAAAGCAAGTTCCAGGGCAATCAAGGCTGTTACACAGAGAAACCCTGTCTCAAAATAAATAAATAAATAAATAAATAAATAAACAGAAAAAAAGAAAGGAAGAAAGGAAAAGAAGAGAAAAAGAAGAAGGAAGGACAAACTAAAGAGATGGCTCAACAGTTAAGTGGCTGCTCTTGCAGAGGACCCAGGTTCAGTTCCCAGGACCCAGCACGACAGCTCACAACTGCACATAACTCCCGTTCCAGGGGATCCATGCCCTCTTTTGACCTTTGTGGGCACTGTTTCTCATGTGCTGTACCTACATACATACACTTAGGCAAAATAAACCTAAAAATGATAACAGAAAACTAGAAAGCACTATTCCCCACCTACAAACTGTGGGAGAAACGACAGCACCGCCTTGGGGTGGGTCTGTCTTACCTGTAGCTCCTCCATCTGCTTCTTGGCAGTTTCATTGAAAACCTTCAGTTCATTCTGCAACGTTTCCAGCAGCCGCTGAAAGCAAAGCAGAATATCAAGAGTTGAGCTGGACTCACAGCTGGGAAGCAGAGACAGGGAGAACTCTGAGTTCAAGGCCAGCCTGGGCTACACAGGGAATTCCCGGATAATGGGGACGATGAACTGAGACCCTACTTAAAAAGTTAGGGGCAGGGGAACGAGAAGACAGAAACATACACTCAGACAGAGGGATAGGAATTAGATGGTGGCCACCATCCTTCCCATTCAGGACACGAGCACTGCCTGACCATGTCAGGATCTCCCTTTGAGAAACCCAGCTCACCAGTGAGCCAAATTACGAATGGGTGCTGCTCTTAGGAATTGTTCCTCTGTACCATGGAGGAGTCCAGACAGACAGACGCCTTTATCTAGAGTGATAAAATCCCTATGTTCTCCTCAACACCCCATCACTTATCCAGGCAATTCCAACAGTCCAGGCCCAAGAAGCTTGGTTTCTTACTACAGGTCCCCTCCTTGAGATATCAAATTTATCTGCTACAATGTGCCCTGTTCTGCATGGACCTCAGGAGCAAACCACAGCAGACTCAAAGGGAAGCCAGGGTGGCTTTCTCGGCTAGCACTGTGACAACTGACCTTCCTGGAGAAGAGATCAGACGAGTTTGGAAGTCTTTATGCCCAGATAAATTACCTTCCTTTAGGCAAGGGGCCAAAAGGAAATTCTGAATTCAGTCAAGCTAGGCCTTGGCATTATAGTGTTCTCAGCAATGGAATAGGGGAGACACCTGATGAAGTGTAGGTCTCTACATGAGTTCTCCATATCAAAGATTTGTGTATACGCGTGCATGTGTGGTGTGTTTGAAGTACTGGAGTCAACCTGAAATGCCACGCATTCTAGGCAAGACTTACCACTGATTCCTCTTAGAAGGGTTTGTGTGGGTGGTGTATGTATGTGTTCCTGAGGCATATGCACACATACATGCAGCTACAAATACAGTGGAGGCCACAGATTGACATTTCATATTTGTTTTCCACTTAAAAAATTATTTTTATTATTATCATTTATTATTGTGTGTGCATGCCACAGCATGTATGTAGGCCATGGGACAACTCTGGAGTGGGTTCTCTTCATCTACCTTTCCCTTCCAGAGACCAAGCTCAAGTGGCAATGTTTGTACAGCAAGGTTCTTAATCGGCCATCTTAACCAACCATCTTAAGTCACCTGCCCAGCCTTCCCCCAGCCTTTTAAAACATTTACTTATTTAATATGGCCGAGAACACATGTGCATGCACTATGACACACACGTGGAGGCTGATGGCAACTTAGGGGAATGGTTTTTGTCCTCCCATCATGTGGTTCTGGGCATCTAGTTCAGGCTGTGAGGCTTGTAGCAGCATCTTTCCCCTGAGCCACCTCAACAGCTCTCTACTTTTTAAAGCATTTATTTACATGTGGGAGCGGGGATAATCCATGCCACCTGTGGAGGTCGGAGGACAACCTGAAGGAGCCGGTCCAGGGCCTGAACTCAGGCGTCAGGCTTGGCGGCGAGCACCTTGCCCTGCTAGCCCATCTTGCAGGCCTGTCTCTACTTTATTTTTTGAGACAGGGTCTCAGGTTAATCAAGGCTGGCAGGACAAGGAGCTCCAGCTTTTATGTGGGTGCTGAGGAGCTAAACTTGGGTCCTCCTGTTTGTGTGTACTGTACTGTACCGTACTGACTGAGCCCTCCTCGGCCCCATTCTGGGTTTCAGTTCTGTTTCCGGGTCAGAGCCACTTATATCTGTCTCCCTGTGAGGGGTAAAACATGCCCTAAGAACACACTCCATTGCTCTGTTGTCATGGACAACCGAAGCAAACACCTTAAAATCTGCAGAGCATGAAGCAGAGATCTTAGTCCTGCTGGGTGACAGACCAGCCTGACTCCTTGTTAAAAGCCATCTTGTTACAAGATCAAAATAAGTTCATGCCTACTTTCGGTAAAACTTGGATTTGATTGGGTCTTGCCCTATTTCCTGGAATCTGACATGTCTCACAGTTTTTTGGGGGGGCTATATAAACCCCACTTTCACCTACGTGCAATGCTATTTTCTCAAACACTCTGTTAGAGAGATAGTCGGGTCTGACAGAAAATAAAGGTTGCTTAATTTGACCAAGGACATTGGTAATGTATTTACTCTCATTTGGTGGAATCAACACCGGGCCCTGGATGAAGGCCTGCCCATCTCCTCCCTTGCCCTCACCATGGAGTCCGTGTGATCTGTTGTAGGTTCCCGCTGTGATGCCAGGGTCTCGCTGCCTAAAATGGATGGAAACAACAAAGTCAGCCTCACATAGGAACTACACTTTAACCAGAGGGGAAGTAGCTCTCCATGGACAGACAGTACATGCGCATTTCTGAGGGAAGCCTCTCCAATGCCTGTTCCTGGAAGCTCTCCCCTGACTGTGTCTCCCACCCAGAGTTGCAAATGGCCAGAGTCTATTCTGTTCTGCTTCTTTTTGGAGAAACTTTGTCCAAAGGAATGCATGTGTTTTCATTTTGTTTACAATATACAAAATTACAAAAAAATCTTTTAGGCCTTAAAAGTCATTATCTTTGGTAACTGTAGTAGTTTGAGAATGGCCCCCATAGGCTCATATAATTGAATGCTTAGTTACCAGAGAGTGATACTGTTTAAGAAGGATTAAGAGGTATGGCCTTGTTGGAAGAATTGAGTTACTGAAGTGGGCTTTGAGGTCTCAGAAGCCCATGCCAGGCCTAGTCTCCCTCTCCCTCCCTCTCTCGGCCCACAGATCAGGATGTAGCTAGCTCTCAGCTACTGCTCCAGTGCTGCCTCAATGCCACCATCCATCCTTCCATGATAGGGGCTCAGCATCTGAAACTGTAAGCAAGCCCCCAGTTACTTCCTTTTATTATACGGATTGCCTCAGCCACAGTGCCCCGTGCCAGCACTGACCTGTGACTAAGACAGTCAGTGCACAGACAGGAGAAACGGGGCTGGCTGCGGTGCTCCCTGCCTCCAACTCCAGTACCTAGGAGGCTGAGGCAGGGAGAGTCAGTGTTCAAGGTCAGCCTGGGTTACCTGGTAAAGCCTCGTCAAACCCTGCTTCCCCCACAAAACCTATTCTATTACCAGGGGATTCAATACCTTCTTCTGGACTGGGGCACCAGGTACACATGGGGTGCACATACGTATACATGTATGCAAAACACGCATACACATAAAATAAAGTCTTAAAGAAAGAAGAACAGGGCTGGGAGGTGGTGGCACATGCCTTTAATCCCAGCACTTGGGAGGCAAAGGTAGGCAGATCTGTGAGTTTGAGGCCAGCCTGGGCTACAAAGTAAGTTCCAGGAAAGTCAGGGCATTACATAGAGAAATCTTAATTTGAAAAACAAACAAACAAAAAGAAAAACAAAAAAACTCCCCCACATGTCCTATACCCCCAAATAGACCCTAAACTGGGTCCGGGGTGTTAAGTGCTGGCACAAGGCAGGCCCCGGGTTCCATCTCTAGCACAGAGTCAGCATTCCTTAATTCAAAGAGGCCCAAGTCCCTTTCCTGGGCAGTTTCTGGCTCTTCAGTGCAGTCTGAGGGTATCTCATAGTCTCTGGACAAATTCTCTTCTTGGGGAGGTACTGAGGATAGAACCCAGGGCCTCCCATGTCCTAGGCGCATGCCCTTTCACTGAGCTATACCCTATCCATGGGTCACACTGCAGGATAGGAAGCCAACTCAGGAACCACGGAGACAGAATTCTCTCCTCTCACCTGAGCAAGGTAGCTTGCGGCCCTGGGAAAGAAACAGCGTTTCTGGTCTCTTTGCTAGCTTACACCTGCTGACACTGAGTGCGTGGAGCAGCACTCAGCTGAGAAGGAGAGCTGTCTCTCTATAGTCACCGGAAACCCTGTTAGTCAGGCAGAAGCGGACATTTCCTAAGAACATCAAGAAACACTCAGAGATCTTTAGGGCTTGGCTAAGCAGCTCCTGCACTCGCAGGACAAAGATCCCATGCTGCCAACGTAGCTCCAGGAAGGGCACTTGTGCTGAGTCCAGAAGGCAGCTGTGTGCGCCTCTTACCTGGGTTGAGGCCTCTGCTCTCCAAGATTGCTAAGCAGTTATCCTGAAACTTCTCCAGCAGCTCCACTTTCTGGGTCAGGTCCTTCAGTTCTCCCTACGGAGCGGAGTGGCAGCCAACAATCAGGAGCCGTCCTGCACACAGCAGGCCTTCTATAGCAGGAGCCGGCTCCTTTAGCCTGCAGTGGTCAGCTTGCTCCCAGCCAGCAGGAGTCCACCTGCATCACCCGGGGCAGCTGATGAGTCAGAACTGGGTGGGCTTCTTACCTGCGTCTCCATCAACTTCTGGTGTAACTGCTTGTTGACGGCCTCCAGGAGCTGGTTTTTATCCTTTAGTTCCTCCTCTGGTTTTTGCTTATTCAGTGGTTTGTAGCTAAAAGTTGTAGAAATATGATGGGTAAAGGTTTAGGAGTACATGCTATTGACTTATTCAAACGAATTCCAATCCTGGCTTCCTGACAGTGACCTGTAACCGGAGTCCATTTCCTCATTTCCAGAATTTAGACAATACCTCCATTTCATAACATTCCTATAAGACAGAGAATCCATGGACAATGCTTAGCCTCAACAGCTGTCATCCTAAATAGTAAACCTTTACTGTGAAGGTCTTGAGTTTTCAGAAACGTGTGTGTGTGTGTGTGTGTGTGTGTGTGTGTGTGTGTGTGTGTGTGTGTATGTGCATGCAGAGGTCAGAGCAGAATTTCAGGATCTGCTCTCCATTCCATTCCCTTGAGACAGATCTCTTCCTGAATATGAAGCTTGCCGAGACCATCAGTCAATAAGTTCCCAAGGTCTACCTGATTCCTCCTAAATCTGCAGCTGTGGCAGGTGTGGCCCCGTCCAGCTTTTTACAAGGGCGCTGGGGATTCTAACCCAGGCCCTCTTGGTGATTGTGCAGCAAGCGCTCTTACCCGCTGAGCGCCCCAGCCCAAAATGTTTTGTGTGTGAGGGAGAGTGTGTATGATTTTTAAACAGGCTTCCCCTGTGTCATGGTTAGGGGTTCTATTGCTGTGATAAAACACTATGACCAAAGCAGTCTGGGGAGGGAAGGGTTTATTGGGCTTATGCTCCCAGATCATTGTTCATCGCTGAAGGAAGTCAGGGCAGGATCCTGGAGGCCGGAGCTGATGCAGACGCCATGGAGGTGTGCTGCTTACACGGCTGCTCTGTCTGCTTTCCTACAGAACCCGGGACCCGCAGCCCAGACACAACCCCACCCACATGGGCTCTGCCCTCCTCCAGGCCTGTTTTCAGGTGAGGTCCCCGCTCCAGTGACTCTAGCCTGTGTTGTCAATATAAAGCTAGCTAGCACACTCTACAACCTGGTTGGCCTGGAATGCAGCCCAGGATGGCCTTGAACTTGTGGCAATCCTGCCTGTTTTCCAAGTACTTCTATTACAGGCATAATCCAACATATCTAGAAAGAAGCTGTTTTTTGCGGGGAGGGGTGCTACAGGACATCATGTCACACATGAATCCCAAGATTGTGTTATTTCCTGGAAAAACCTGTTTCTGGTTGTGGTGTGGCTCAGCTCTAGCACACACCTTCAATCCAAGAGCTTTCTGCTCGAATACTGTAGACAGGATTAAACAAGCAGGCACCTCCACCCTCAGTCTGCCCCCGCTCACCCCTTCCTGATGTTCTTCCTGCTAGCAGGCTCTGCAACTCTCACGTGCCTGTGGAAGCAAAATCAACGCCAATCAGAGAACCACAGTGCTAGGTGCTACGATCACTGCCGTTTGGACTCCTGAGCCCCCTGCCTCAGCCTCTCCAGTGCTGGGATTACAGGTGTGTGCTACCATACCTGGTTTAAGAGATTCGAGCTGCGAAGGAAAGAACCAAAGAGTACATCCAAGTAAACAGCACAGGCTGAAGGCCCATATGTTATGGGATATTTGTACATTGTGTGAGAATGTATTGCTGTGATTGGTGTAATAAAAACCTAAGTAGCTAGGCAGGGGATATAGGAGGGACTTCCAGGTAGGGAAAGAGAGAAACTGGGAGGAGGAATCTAGGTGTGCGATTTCGCCAGCAGACTCGGAGCAAGTCGGATGTGCTGCACTAAGATGGTAAGGGAGCCAAGAAATCCAGGTTAATGAAGTTGTAAGAGCTAGTTGTGTAGAAGCCTCGGCCAAGGCCAAGCATCCATCATTAATACAAAGTCTCTGGGTCATTATTATTCGCAGGCTGGCCTGATTAGAAAGCTTGCTGCACCGCATGCTGGTTTCAGCCTGTGTGGGGAGGAGGCTTTTATTAAGGAAAGGGGCCTTAATCACACCAACAACCGAGAGACCTGAGCATGCTTCAGATACCATAGCCACCTCATGTCAACCACACCTATCTGGCAGAGGATCATGGTCACACACATGGATCCTGGGGCTGGAGTCTGCTCAGACTGTGAGTAAGGCTCCCAGCCAGCTCCAGCTGTCAGCAGCTGCCAGGTGCTGTTGCTGTAGTTGGAGCCAGTGTGGCAGAGGGAGGTGCGGCTTTAGAAGGATCAGGATCGATAGAGGGCCTCACAAACAGCTCAGGAATCCCATTTTGTTTGCATGAGACAAGGGCTCCCATATTCTTTTTCTTTTAAATTTTAAATTTAAATTTTAAATTTTTTTTGGGGAGATGGAGTGTTCTTTCTTTGTTTATTAATTTAATTTATTTATATTTTCAATTTTTTTTTTCAAGACAGGGGTTCTCTGTAGCTTTGGAGCCTGTCCTGAAACTAGCTTTTGTAGAACTCGAACTCATAGAGATCCGCCTGCCTCTGCTTCCTGAGTGCTGGTATTAAAGGTGTGTGCCACCAGTACCCAGCTTATTTATTTATATTTTCTATGTCTCCATGTACACCTGCACGGCAGATGAGGGCACTAGATCTCATTACTGATGGTTGTGGGACACCATGCAGTTGCTGGGAATTGAACTCAGGACCTTTGGAAGAAGAACAGCCAATGCTCTTAACCTCTGAGCCATCTCTCCAGCCCCAGGAAGGAATATTTTGAGACAGGGTCTCACTGTGTCTCTCTCTGTCTTTCCTGAAACTCACTATGTAGACCAGGCTGGCCTCAAACTCATAGATATACAACTGCCTCTGCCTTCTAAGCACTGGGATTAAGCAGTGCACCACTATGCCCAGCTTTACTTCTATTTATGTGTATGAGTGTTTTGTCTATAGGCACAGATGGGCATCTACTATGTCAACAGAAGTCAAAAAGGACGTTAGAGCCCCTAGGACTGGGTTAGGGATGGTTGTGACCTACTGTGTGGGTACTCGGAACCAAGCCAGGGTCCTCTGAAAGAGCCACAAGTGCTGAGTCATCTTCTCAGCCTCCATTTTAAAATTTTTGGTGTTCAGCAGTTTTAGAAAGATCAGTCTCTCCCTGTTCCTCCCCGTCTCGCTGGAGTCACCCCAGGCTGTTGCACAAGCACTCTGGCACTGAGCTCCACCCCCTAGCTCTGGTGAGATGTTCTAACACCAGATGCCAACGATCTGCTCTTACCCATTCTCGCGTCTCGGTTTGGTGACTTTTGTAACGTCAGGGTCTGACCCTCCTGGATGAAGATGTCTAAAGGCATCAGCTTCTTTGGACTTAATAGGTAGCTTAGAAGTAGTTCGAGTTTGTGCATCTGAAAGGGAGAACAGGAGTGAACCACAGCATCACGCACCAGCGCTGCCTCCCGATGCCACACAGAGCCTCCCTGCGAGCGGTCAGAAGCCTTGCTTCCATACTGTCCATTTCAGTCTAGGCATAGAGGCTGTTTCCAAATGAAAGGACTCTACTAATTGGCCTTAGAGGCTAAGATTCTTTTTTAGCTTTTGGATATGGTTATTACTCTATCTCTGAGTGGCCTTGAACTCATATGTAGAGACCTTGTGACGTACAGTGATCCTCCTGCCTCTGCTTCCAAATGCTGGGATTGAAGGTGTGCGCCACCACACACCATTGAAAGTTCATCACGAGTGACAGCTTAGCGGACCTGACGATATGTCAAACTGACAGCTACAGGTTTGTGAACGCGGAGGTCGACAGAGACAAAGAGCTGGAGGAAAGGCTGAGATAGTGGGGAGAACCCAGCTGGAACTGACCGGTCTCAGAATGGGGGTAGGTTCCCACACCCGTTCTCCCCAGACAACATCTAGCTGCTGCTGACTTTCACCCAAATGTCCTCCTAACCACTCGGAGACATCTTTATGTCCAGGTACCTAGTAAAGGATCTGGCATTCGACCAAAGTTCAAGAACCAACAAGTGACTTAGACGGAACGTATCAGCTGTACACTGTTTCCCTGCCCTCACTGTTGTGAGCGATTTCCTCTCCTCTTCCCTGGGCCAGGTCCAGCCCTTCCACAACGCTTTTACTGTCAATCCCTTCTTAAACCTAAGAGGTTTCCATTTGGCAAGCCTGCTGATCTCCCTACTGGGTCAGGCTGGGTAACCATCAATCCTACCATACATGTCCTTTAGCATACATGTCACACTAACATTTACATGTCACAGAACCTGTCATGCCCCACCCCCAAGCTTTTCTATTTCTCTTCAGTTCAGGGGTTTCTAGATTATACTAACTTCACTTTGTTCATTGTAAAATGGCTCCTTTAAGCCATATTAATTAGCTGGGCGGTGGTGGCTCACGCCTTTTATCCCAGCACTCGGGAGGCAGAGGCAGGCAGATCTCTGTGAGTTCGAGGCCAGCCTGGTCTACAAGAGTTAGTTCCAGGACAGGTTCCAAAGCCACAGAGAAACCCTGTCTCGAAAAAACCAAAAAAAGAGAAAAAGCAAAAAAAAAAAAAGCCTTACTAATTAAATAATTAAGTTGAAGAAATGAGGTATAAAGTGCTGGATCATATTGCAGGGTACTTTGTATTTAATAAAAAATTTATTCAAATACCTTGCTACATAATAATTTGGAGTAAGTACATACTCCCCCAGGTTGACACATTTTGTTTATAGGTACAATTTACAGCACCTGAATTCGAGTTTCAATATTCGTAACACTATGCAAATATTAAATGGGTTCTTAGGAGTTATCTTTTAGGAAAAAGAGGTTACTTTGTGCTACTATCTTGTCTGATCTCAAGTAGTAGTAACTTAAATATAATAATATATCTAGTCCATGTAAAAGAGTTCATAGGAAATTGGAAAAAAAAAACAAATTAATTGCAATCAGCTCCAACAATCTGAGCCCTGAGGGTTGCACTGTAGGAAAAAAGTCGGAATTCAAAGATTGTCTCCTAGAAAGGAGGCACTAAGGAGAATTGGATGGCTGATGTAAAGAACACGTCAAACTTGTTTATTCAAACCCCTCCCCGAAAAGGTCTCGCTGTATAGCCCTGGCCTGTAACTCACTATATAGAGCAGGCTGGCCTCGAACACATGCCCATCCTGCTGCCTCTGCCTCCAGACTGCGGGCACGAGAGGTGTGATCCCCCCTCCCCCCGCTTCATTCTATAGCTTTCTAGTTTTCCCTTGTTGGTGGAGACCGCCTAGAAACCTTACAACTGTCCCGGAACATGTGCTCGAGAAGCTGGGACAGGCCTTACAAGCGGAGATATGAAAACCTGGGGTTGGCAAGGAAGGCTGGTCACTGCCAGCCATCCAGGGCCACTGTGAGGGAGAGGACAAGGCCACAGAGGTCTCTGAGGGATGCTTTGAGGAAAACAGGGCAAAGAGGATAAAATCCTTTGAGCCTGGTAGAAAAGCCATTTTATCTCAGAGACCAATCCTGCTGCCACGGCTCTTCAACCAGCTGCCTGGAATTACTTGCGGAGTGATGGTAAAGGCTGCTCCGAAATCCCTCCCTACAGCTGCTGGTTCTGGGCCCCCTTCCATGCTATAGTCTTTACATTAGGCAGCACAGCCACTACAGATGCCACCAGATGACTCTCGACCACAAGAACATCAACACACACCAAGATGGAAAGGCAACTACAAATTGTTTAGGTCATGCTCCCTCCTCTCGGGGTTCTCGGGAACTCCGGCTAGGATGGGTCCTTCTCTCTTGCTCTACTCAGCATAGGAGAACAAGGAAGGAATCGTGTGTTTGCTCCCCACTATCCTCCTCCTCCAAATGATTCTCTTCTCTGACAACAAAGCCACCCCTGCAAGACAACCAACCCTAATCTGGAAATAAAAAGGATAATTGCATAAGAAGCGATTTCTGGGGCTGGAGATGGCTCAGCAGTCAAAAGTCTACTTTTGCAGAGGACTGAAGTTTGTTCCAGGACCCACACCAGGAATTTAACTCCAGCCCCAGGGGGATCAAGACCCCAGACCTCCCTTGGGCACCTATATTTATGTGCACAAGCGCCCCGCCCCGCCCTGCCCATTTAAAAAAAATAATGTCTTTGCAACAGAGTTCTAGAGAGGCAGGTGTGGTGGGAATGAGCCTTCAATTTCAGCATTCAGGTGCTGAAGTAGGAAGGCTGCGGCAAGTTAACGTTACTAAGGGCTACGTAGTGAAAACCTAGCTTAAAAAAGGGAATGAAAGGGGGCTGGAGAGATGGCTCAGCGGTTAAGAGCATTGCCTGCTCTTCCAAAGGTCCTGAGTTCAATTCCCAGCAACCACATGGTGGCTCACAACCATCTGAAATGAGGTCTGGTGCCCTCTTCTGGCCTTCAGGCATACACACAGAAAGAATATTGTATACATAATAAATAAATAAATATTTAAAAAAAAAAAGGGAATGAAAAGTGAGGCATTGGGCATGGTGGCACATACCTTTAATTCCAGCACCCAGGAGGTAGAGGCCAGCCTGGCTTACATAACGAGTTCCCCACCACCACGACATCACACAAAAAAAGCTATTCCTAAACAACCACCAACAATTTGAATCTAACTGGTAAACGCAGAAGGGGGTGGGGCCGGGGGGGTCAGGAACGGGGACTCTCTTAAATTTTGTTCGCCTAAGCATACACAGCCTGGCTTGGGGTGAGGCGCAGGCAGTTGTCAGAGCTAACCGAACGCCGCCCCAACACACACAGATTTCGATCCTCTACTCCTAGCATAGTCCACGGAGCCCCGGCCGGTGGCGGCGTGGACACCCACCTGCGGGCAGGCCGCCGCTCGCCATCGAGTTGGGCTGCGCGTCGCACACCGTTTTAGCACTGGCCATCGTAGCCGGGTGGCTCGGCTGGGCCCTGGAAGGTGCAAGGTGGATCATTAGCAGCGCCGGAGCCCCGCCACGCCAGCCGACCCACCCGCACCCACGCTGCCCAGCCAGGGGCCCGCAGAGCCAAACCCCGGCGCCAGCCGCTCCAGCCCGCAGTCCTCTTCGTTCCCTTTCAAAAGTTGCTCCGCAGTAACCGCCCAGCCCTCGGCTGAGTCTGCCGCCACGCTTTCAAAAGGAAACTTCCGGGGGCTGGGCGAGAGGGGGCGTGGCTCCGAGTCTGTAGGCCGCCCTGTTGTACGGAAGACTTTCTCCTGCACCGGGGCCTCGGGAGCCGCCATGCTGTACGGAAGGCTCGAGCCACGCTGCCCGAACCAGCGGGTCAAGGCCCGGCCTGGGATGCACTGGGCAGGCTTGAATGGGGCTAGTGAGCCACTGTGTCATGTTCCTGGCTGGAGGCGGAAACGTGAACGCTCTTAGTGTCTAAGTCACAATCCTCTTTATTTGTTTTTGATTGTTAAGGATCCTGTCAGGAGTACAGGTGACCTGATTAAAAACTACCAGAAACCGGGTGAAGAATGGCAAAACTTTTTTAAGGGTTACCGGTGGGCTGAAATACCTAACAAACCTGCATCGGGATTTAACTATAAATTTAAGTTACTTAGCCGCATGGTGGTGGCGCACACCTTTAATCCTAGCGCTCAGGAGGCAGAGGCAGGCAGGAGGCTCTCTGTGAGTTCAAGGCCAACCTGGTCCACAGAGCGAGTTCCGGGACAGGCTCCAAAGCCACAGAGAAACCCTGTCTCAGAAAACAAAACAAAACAAACAAACAAAAAAGAAATTAAAGTTACTCATACGAAACAAGGTAGAGTTCTTAGTCATTTCATAAACACATTGGAAAAAACACACGCACTGAAGGAGCAGCTGCGATGTAAGGACACTAAGAGGTGGATAGATTAGGGACAGCAAATACCAGGATTGACTTTAGCGCTGCCGAGTTTACGTCCAGGAAAGACACTGAACAGATAATCGCCAGGATGTGTTTACCGTCCATGGTGAGAGAGTGAAGGAAAACCACAAAAAGCTTTGAGAGAAAACCCAGGAGCAGTTTAAAATTGGGGAAAACAGTTTAAACTGGGAGGATCGAGGCCCTGGGGGTTCACAGCTGTAATCCCAGCACTCAGGAGGCTGCCACTGGGAGACTTACTTATAAATGCTCAGCTGTTAGCTTAGACTTGTTTTTAGCCAGCTCTTATTGTCGTAAAAGTAAATCTGCTGGCCTGGCCTGTCACCTGGGTACCCTGTCCTTTTCAGAGACAAATCCCGCCCACTTCCAATGGCCCCTTCCCATGAAAGGCAAGGAATCTCCCACCTCCTCCCCAGCTGTCTCTGTCTGTCCTTCTGAAGAGGCACCTTCTCTCTCCCTTCCCTTTCTTCCTTCTCTTCTGTCCCCTCTCTTTCTCCCCACCCCCCATAAACCCTTACTCTTATGTTGTTCCCAATACCCACTAAATAAACTCTATACCCGAGTTCTCTCTGCATGGTGTGTCTGTCTAGTCTTCCACCCGCCCGGGGACCCGCACGGCCTCGGGTCGCCCACATCATGAATGATAACGACCTCACTGCCATCTTGACCAAGGGCAGGCCAGGTAACCCAGCGGCCATCTTTACTGAGGTACCCCTTGCCTCGTCTCACCATTTACTTACGTTTATGTCTCTAAATTCCTGACTCTGTTACATGTGTGTTTTGCACAGTGGCATGCTTTTGGTAGGGCCCACCGGAGCATCCACCTCTCCCGAATCCTGTTTAATATATGTGTGTATGTTTGCATGTGACTTTTGAGTTTATTTTAGGTGTGAACATGAGTTAGCTTTAATGCTGTGTGTATGTGTGTATAAAAGTTAAATTCAACTGTGTGTATCTGTACATGTACCTATTGTTAAAAATGTTCTAAGTAGTCCAAGTCCTAATGAGCTGTGTTCATTAAATCTCATTCCAGACTAAAAAAAGCAGTAAGTAAATATTTCAAATTGGTATGTGCTGGAGAGATGGCTCAGAGATTAAGAGCACTGGCTGTTCTTCCAAAGGACCTGAGTTCAATTCCCAGCAACCACATGGTGGCTCACAGCCGCAAGTATAAATTTCACCTGTTAAGTTAAAAACCAGTACAGTCAAGCTTGGACCCCGCTCTCCAGACAGATCTGATACTGAGGTCATCTATATCCAGTAAATAGCCCTCGAGTGCTCAGAGATCTGGGGAATGTGGCATTTAAATGTTTAATTATTAAAAGACTTTTCATAACAGAGAGACAGGTTGGTTTCTAACAGGGGGAACCCCTTCTCCTCCAAAGAAGACGGAAGACAAATGGGCATAGAATGGGCACAGAGCCATGTTCATCGGTAATTTGCTTCATCAGGTGAAGGTGCTAACCACTGGCAAACTGTCTTTCATCTAAATCCCTGAAGATCTCCAGACAGTGGACAGAATCGCTGGTCTAGCTGATTAGGTCAAGGTAGGCCTGTCTTCCTACAGATTTCCTACCCCACAGGATCTTCTAAAACCTGCGCTAAACAGCAGAAGACAAACACAGTCCTAATGCCCTTGCCCTCGACGACCATGGAGGACCCTGAGGAGTGGCTCTAGGGAGCCAATGGAGTAAGTTCTCTGACATTTTTTAAATCAATAACTCAAGTAAAATTTTATCCTTCTCAAAGATCTCTAATGCAGTTTGACAGCTGAGAGGTTTCGTCAGTTTAAAAGGACAACCTCACCAAAAAAATTTCAGTATAACTCCTTACTATGTTCTAATAAAGGGTGTTTTACGACATACAAATGCAAGTTATTAAGGTCTGAGGACAAGTGCAAGTTACCACATTTCTCTCTCATGTTGTCATTCATAGTTTTTTTTTTTTAAATATTTATTTATTTATTATGTATACANCTGTCTGGGTATATGCCTGCAGGCCAGAAGAGGGCACCAGACCTCATTACAGATGGTTGTGAGCCACCATGTGGTTGCCGGGAACTGAACTCAGGATCTTTGGAAGAGCAGGCAATGCTCTTAACCACTGAGCCATCTCTCCAGCGCCCTGTCATTCACAGTTTTAATAATATCAGTAAAATGCTGATAAGCTACGAATCAAACTCTGGCAGCGTACTACCACTACTGAAAGATTTTAAATTCTCTTGTCATTTTCTAAAGATATTCTTCATTGTGCAAAAACATCTGTCACAGTCATTCTGGCATAAATATGCTGCTGTGTATACAATGTATGTGTCTAAAACTTACGTTTTCAAAACCTCAAAGAATTCTTGTGAGTTCCAGGGAGCCAAATTGAAGGATTCATCTTAAACAGGCTGGATACAACCCTCTCAATTCCCTGGTCCTGAAAAACTCTTTTCTTCCTAAACTTAACTTTGTCCTCTCCCCTGTCAGTAACTTGCCAGGTCCAAGAGACACCGGGCAGTTCTACACCAAAAATCCCAGACAGGAGTAAAGCTACCCCAGGATGTGACCAGCACCCAGATTTCTCAGGCACCCCAAGAAAGACTTTGACGCCAACAAATAGCAGGAAGCAGACTTGAGAACATCCCAATACCCTCAACCTGCCATGCCTAACTCCTTGCCTTTTGATTATAAGAGAAAGGTGGGAATGTTGTAAAAGTAAATCTGCTGGCCTGGCCTGTCACCTGGGGTACCCTGTCCCTTAAAGAGACAAGCCCCGCCCACTCCCAATCTCCCCATTCCTGCGGAGGCAAGCAGATCTATCTTTCCCTCTTCTGAAGAGGCAGCTTTTGTCTCTTTCTTCTCTTCTGCCCCCCTCTTATCTCCTCCCTTCTCCCCCATAACCCCTTACTCTTCCCAATACCCACTAAATAAACTGTGTACCCTAGCTCTCTCTGCATGGTGTATCTGTCTGTCTCCCACCCGCCAGGGTCACCCACTGCCACCCATCGTGGGACCGACCTCGGGTCGCCTGCACCATGAATGATAACACTTATAACTTAAATTAACCCATTTCTATTAATCTATGTGCTGCCTGAGGCTCGTTTACCTCATCTACATATTTCCTACCCTGCTCCGCATCTCCTGGCATCTCTCGAGACTCTGCCCTTCTTCTCCTGAGTTCTCCTAGTGTGGCTCTCCCACCCAGTCTCTTCCTGCCCGGCTATAGGCCAGTCAGCTCTGTGTTAGCCAATGAGAGTGATACATATTTACAGTGAGCAAAGGTTGCTCCACAGGAATTTAGGTGTGTTTGAATCGGGGAAGAGGAGAGTTAGTGAGACTCGTGAACACTGAGAAGTGCTAAGTTCTAAGGTAAAAATGAGTCTTTCTCTTAATGAAGCTGAAAGATAGGAGAAATGTACAGAAAAAACTGGGGGATAAGAATTAAAGTGGAGCTGGGCAGTGGTGGCGCACACCTTTAATCCCAGCACTGGGGAGGCAGAGGCAGGCGGATCTCTGTGAGTTTGAGGCCAACCTGGTCTACAAGAGCGAGTTCCAGGACAGGCTCCAAAGCTACAGAGAAACCCTGTCTTAAAAAAAAAAAAATTAAAGTGGGCTGGTTATGGTACTAAGAGACCTAGGCCCCTACACAAACCTGAAAGGCTCGACTCTAAGCCCCAACCCAGTGAAAGAAACACACCCTGAAAACAGGACCAGAGTTAGGGGAAGAGACACTTTGTACCCAAACCTAGAGATGGAGAAAAGTCCCAGGACCCTGAAACCAGGACCAAAAAAACCACACTAAGCCCCTAGATCCAGAGCATACTAAAGATATTTGCCCTGGGTGCAAAAAGGTAAATAGAAACAGTTTGGCCCCAGAAGCAGAGCCATCTCTGCCACTGACACAAAACCAGCCAATCCGTGAACAGGGAAAACTGACCAATCGCTGAGCCCCTAGAGGCTTGGCCTTCCCTTCAGGCAGGGACAGTTGGGAATTCCCTTCAGGCCTGGAAAGCCCCCTTCCATCATAGGGGGCCAGCCAATTCCAAGCCTGGAAGTCTGGAATTCCCCTCACCCTATTGGGGGGCAGCCAATCACAAGCCCAGAGGCCTGGAATTCCCCAAGGCTCTTCCCCTATATAAACCCCCTGTGTTCCCTGCTCAGGGTCTCTCCTGTGCTGTTCCTGCTTCAGACAGACAGAGGGACCCGAGTTAACTTGTAATAAAGGCGCTTTGTTTTTGTTTTGGAGTCACTCTTGTGGGGGTGATTTGGGTTCCAGATTCTGGGCATAATAGTATCACAGGCCAGTAGGGTATGCTGAAGAGCTAGAGCCAAGAAATCGGGTGCTGGTTTTCATTAAGTCTCCATGGTTTTTTGTTGTTGTTGTTGTTGT